CCGTAGAAAATGTACTTAAGCGGCAGAAAAGCGCTACTGGCGTAGGCGCCTTCAGGCCTCTACCACACAACTCAGTACACATAAATGGCTTAGTTATAGTGCTATAATAACGTTTTTGTTATATTATATTGACTGTATTAACGAATAAATATTAATATAATAATTTAATTGTCAAAAAAAATATATTTTTTTTAATTTATTATTTTTTTTAATATATTATCATTTTTTTTTTTAAATTTAACTTCCTTTATTCTATACGGAGGTCGCTTAAGAAGGGCTCTATTATAAAAATTATATAATTATAATAATAAAACTTAATTAAAAAATACTTTGCAGAATATCTTGAATTTTTTATTTAATATTTGCAATTTAACATTTTGTTTTATATATTTACTGATTCTTAGAGGTAATTTAAATTGTATATACTTCCCTGGAAATGAGCCATATTAATATCTGTTTTATAAACTAAAATAATATATACCTAATCAGAACTACTTTTAATGAATAGGTGATGGATTGTTTAGTAAAATTCATATATCGCTATTAAAAAAATCATTTTTATTTCCTTAATTTTATTCGGAAGTTGGACCATATCATAAAAAATATGAACTTGTAACATTAAATGCATTATTCCCTCTGCACAAAAGAAATATGGAAAGGGCAAAGCTATAAGTTCTTCTAGGTAACTGGAACTAATTGTTAGTATTGCTCTCAAAATGAGGGAAAAGTCGAAATTGAACCCAAACATTGGAAAAATACATTAAGTGAACGACAAAAGAAGTGCCAAAATTTCGGAAAAGAAAACAAGGATCGGTATCCGTTATATGGCTAAACGAATATATAGTAGACAGATGAACAGAATATTTCAAGATGCTGCTAAAAGAGGGTCAAAATGCTTGATGAGTTTGGATGATATTAAGCAGATTTATTATGGTGAAGACCATTTCATCAGAAAGAAAGATTTGTTCTAAGCAAGTGGCAAACAGGTTTGGAGGAAGTACACGAGGTTTATAATGGTGAATATATAGTAGACAGATGGACAGAATATTTCAAGATGCTGCTAAAAGAGGATCAAAATGCTTGATGAGTTTGGATGATATTAAGCAGATTTATTATGGTGAAGACCATTTCATCAGCAAGAAAGATTTGTTCTAAGCAAGTGGCAAGCAGGTTTGGAGGAAGTACACGAGGTTTATAATGGTGAAAACCACTTTATTTTAGATTGCTATTGAAGTTGCACCTTGGGACTATCTTCACTTTGAAGCAGGTTATAGAGAGGTCTATCGACAAAGGAAAATAGCTCTCCTCCTGTTTAGTGCAATAGGAAAAGATTTTTGAAGGAATCTGAAAGGAAAACGAGCTTTTGTGAAAGACTAGTACATATTAAATCAATCCAAAGTGTGAGGCCCTAAGCAGATAGAGAACCATTTTCCTTTCTCTGTGGACTTCTCTATAACCTACCTTAGAGTGAAGACAGTCCCAATTTGCAACTTATGTTCCAATGTGCAACTTGAGTTTCTCAATCCATATCGCTCAGACAATCGACAATATTTCTAATTTTAGCTTCTACGATTCTTGAGTAGACTTTCTTTGGTACTATAAACAGTAAGGAATGTCGAATAACATTTCCTAGTATCTCATTTCCTGTAAAGGGACAAAAGTACAGTCGTTTCATATAATTTTCTAATACTTTGTAGCCTTTGTACGCACAGCATTTCAGGTTACTTCCTCCAGATCAGCTGACTTGCCACTTGCTTAGAACAAATCATTCTTGCTGATGAAATGGTCTTCACCAGAATAAATCTGCTTAATATCATCCAAACTCATCCAGCATTTTGACCCTCTTTTAGCAGCATCTTGAAATATTCTGTTCATCTGTCTACTATATATTCACCATTATAAACCTCGTGTACTTCCTCCAAACCTGCTTGCCACTTGCTTAGAACAAATCTTTCTTGCTGATGAAATGGTCTTCACCATAATAAATCTGCTTAATATCATCCAAACTCATCAAGCATTTTGACCCTCTTTTAGCAGCATCTTGAAATATTCTGTTCATCTGTCTACTATATATTCACCATTATAAACCTCGTGTACTTCCTCCAAACCTGCTTGCCACTTGCTTAGAACAAATCTTTCTTGCTGATGAAATGGTCTTCACCATAATAAATCTGCTTAATATCATCCAAACTCATCAAGCATTTTGACCCTCTTTTAGCAGCATCTTGAAATATTTCGTTCATCTGTCTACTATATATTCGTTTAGCCATATAACGGATACTGATCCTTGTTTTCTTTTCCGAAATTTTGGCACTTCTTTTGTCGTTCACTTAATGTATTTTTCCAATGTTTGGGTTCAATTTCGACTTTTCCCTCATTTTGAGAGCAATACTAACAATCAGTTCCAGTTACCTAGAAGAACTTATAGCTTCGCCCTTTCCATATTTCTTTTGTGCAGAGAGAATGCAGAGAGAAAAATGCATTTAATCTTAAAATTTCGTATTTTTTGTGATATGGTCCAACTTCCGAAAAAAATAAAGGAAATAAAAATTATTTTTTTTAATAGCGATATATGAATTTTACTAAACAATCCATCACCTATTCATTAAAAGTAGTTCAGATTAGGTATATATTATTTTAGTTTATAAAACAGATATTAATATGACTCATTTCCGGGGAAGTATATACAATTTAAATTACCTCTAAGAATCAGTAAATATATAAAACAAAATGTTAAATTGCAAATATTAAATAAAAAATTCAAGATATTCTGCAAAGTATTTTTGAATTAAGTTTTATTATTATAATTATATAATTTTTATAATAGAGCCCTTCTTAAGCGACCTCCGTATAGAATAAAGGAAGTTAAATTAAAAAAAAAAAAAAATAATAAATTAAAATATTTTTTTTGATAATTAAATTATTGTATTAATATTCGTTCGTTAATACAATCAATATAATATAACAAAAACGTTATTATAGCACTATAACTAAGCCATTTATGAGTACTGAGTGGTGTGGTAGAGGCCTGAAGGCGCCTACGCCAGTAGCGCTTTTCTGCCGCTTAAGTACATTTTCTACGGAACTACTTCAAATATTTTAAAAAGTAATCAGTGTTTTAGAAAGAGAAATGTATTCTCCAGATGTTTTATTTCAGCACGTTTTGCATTATTGTTGACCGTTTAATTACAAACGACGCTTGATTTTCAACTTGAAAATTTTTTTGTAAAAAAAATTGACTTTACCGATTTTTTTTAATGCCTAAACCAATTAGTTTTTAATATTTTTTCATGTTTTATTATTCTCTGATTATCCAGCTTTAATAAAAGACCAACTATGATGAAATTAAGCCAAATTCTGATTCTCAGTAACAAAAAAATAACTAAAATCAAAGTCGTCAATTCGCCATGTTTGGACGCCATTTTGGGGCAGTTCGTTCACTTTTTTTTGTGGGAACATTGGCTTTTTTTTAATAAATTATCACAAGGAACACAACGATATGCAATTTATAGGGATGTGGGGGGGGGATGCACGGTAAGGGGGTCTGGCCCACGGACTATTATATTAAGCACGTGTTACATTTGGAGGCCAATTCCTAACCAGTCTCACATTACCATCCCTTATTTCTCTTTTAGTTAATATCAAATTCTTTCATATTATTTAACCATTTTTCATTTCTGGTTATAATGTGAAGAGATTAACTATTTAAAAACAACAAAATCAAAGGTACTTTAATTTTGAAAATTTGGTATTTAATCCATGTCAGACTATTTCTATGAGAATAATTCCTACCTAATATTAAAGAAAACTTAATTTTATGGGAATAAATTGCAATTATTTTTTCAGAGTAAAATTTTTCATGTATATACAGTGGTGTATATATAGCTTTTCAAAGTCTGAATAAAACTAATTTTTATAAAAATGATTAATGTTTCAATTTAAAAGTATTTTTATCTTCTTTATTGTATACTGATTTAACATTGTAGATGTAATACATATTTAAATTAGCATTATTTTCAATTAACAACAACTCAAGGGACCGATCCATTGTGTTGACGTCATTTTATCCCCTGATTATTGCTACCTTATTGTTGACATCAAGAGTTTTTTTTTCTGTTCTTCCCTACTTCTCCTATAGGCTATACAGGATTTTCCCGGACCGGAGGGTGAGGGCGGGGAATTTAAAATTATGCTGAATGTATCTGTAAAATATGTTATTCTCAGTTTTTTTAAAAAAATTAATTTAACATTCCATATTTCATAATTTCTTTTTTTTCTTGTATTTAATGTTGTTTTGACTTTTAAAAAATGGCAATATATTGCATTTTGTTCGTTTTCTTGCTGAAAAATGAAGTTCTACCCAATCAGCTTAATCCTAGATGATATTGCAGTATGTAAGAATGCTATGGTATTGTTTTGTATCTAGTTTTCCATCTATTCATTAGAGATTTCCAACTCCAGACATAGAAACTCACCCCCAAACCATTATGTCGTCCACATGTTTTATTGTTGTTTGCAAACATTCATCCAAAAATTCCACTTCAGATCTTTTCTAACATACTGCCTCTTTCCATAATCAAACACTTCAAATTTTGACTCACCTCTCTATAAAAATTTGTTCTATTCTTATTCCGTCCAATTTTCGTGTTCTTTGGGAAACTGAAGTTGCCTTCGCTTGTTAAGAGCCCAAAGAAATAGTTTTCTTATGATCCTTAATACAACTTTTGATCTCTTAATAAGTATTTAATGTTTTATGTTATTTCAGTAGAAATAATAGAATAGAATAGAGAATAAGTTTACTCTGGGACAAAGTCCCTTTAGAATAACAAAAACGTACAAAATTAAAATATTATATCTGGCCTAAATAATAACAAACACAAAAAGTAAAAAGAAAGAGAAATAAGTAAAGAAAACATTATTTAAACATACTATATATTTAAAAAAAAATATATGTACAAAACACTTGAAACTAAACCAAACCACTTAACACTATACAGTAGTAAAATATAAATATACAATTTTAGAAAAAATAAAAAATAAATAAAGACTGCGGAGGATACAATTGGAGAGAACGGAACGTAAGAAAATGCCACTGGTTTGATCATTAATGCCAAATATCCGTGTATGAAAAAATTAAAGCTCATCTGAAGATGACACAGAGAAGAACCAGGCAAACATTAGAAAACTACAAACAAAAGAGGAAAGCTACCAAGAAACTGCAGGAGCAAGAAGAGGGGGAAAAAAATAATGATCGAGAATTTTTAAGATAAAAATACCAGAGGCTACTAAAATAAAGTGAAATCATTGAGAAGGGGATTCTAGTCCTGAGTAAGTTTCTGTAAAGACAAAGATGGCTCACTACTACTGGGTATACAACAGGAAATAATTGAAAGATGGAGAAGCTATTTCAGCGAACTATTTAACCCCGACCCCGAAGAAATGCCAATAGTTAATAAGCACGGTAGAGCAGATGCGGATTCAGATCTAGAACCCCCAGACCCAGAAGAGATTGAGGAAGTTATCTTAAATGCGGGAGAGATATACTGAACCGTGAGATCTGTAAACTTATCTTAGAAATAGCAACTGCCCAAGAAACAAGGAACAAATGCACAAAGAATAGTATGCAACCATCATAATACCTATACATAAAAAGGGCGATAAACTGGACTGCTATAATTACTAAGGAATAACACTACTGAGCACAATTATTATCCATTCTGCTATTTAAAAAAGTAATGGTAATGACAGAAAAAGTAATTGGCGATTATCAGTGTAGATTCCGGCTTGGTAGATCGGCGATCAACCAGAACTTCACCGTTAGGATCATGCTGGAGAAATGCTATGAATGGAATATCAACCACCACAACATTTTCATAGACTACAGGCATGCATATGACAGTTCTAAAGAAACGAGCTCTATGAAAACCTAAGGACCATAGGCTGCTCCCTTAGACTCATTAGTATGATAGTAATAACCTTACAGTAGTCAGGAATATTTAGTACGGGCCTAAGGAGAATTATCCGCAGACTTCGCCATATGAAATGGAGTGAAACAGGGAGACCTCTTATCCCCAGTTTTATTTAACATTGCACTAGAAATAATTATTAGGACGATGCGAACGTAGACTGACGGGTGCAGTTATAACAGAGATGCACAACACCTCGCACTTGGGTACAATGTATTCATAACAGGAAAAACACCTTGTCTGAGAACCAGACTTGGTTGCATGTGTCAAGAAGGGGAAGATAAGATGGTTGGAACATGTATTTCGAATGGATCAGAAAATACTTCCAAGGAAGATAATTGAGTAGTAGAGAAAGAGATAAATCGAGGCTGCGATGGTTGGAAGATGTCGAGGCTGACTTACGGCTTCTGGGGGTGACAGAATGGAGAAGAGCTGCAGAAAATCACTCAGAGAGGAGGAGAATTGTTGAGGAGTTAGTTAACAACTTCCATACAAATCGCTATAAAGAATTTGATACTCTTTCATTTTTGAACAGAGGAATTCTGCAATTCCATTTCGAACCTCACCCAGAAAAGTTGTTTCCATTTTTATCAAGTTGTTGCAATGAACTTCTAAATTTGGTGATAAATAGATTTAACTTCTAACCACCTACAGCTATTCACTACAGACGCCCTTTCATTTTCATTAAGTGTTCTTTCTAAATAATTTTGTTTCTGCTGATTGAGTTGTTTTTATTCCAAAATAATGGTAACAAAAACATAGGCTCGGAAACTCCTAGAATAGACGGCCCAGACATAATTTTTGATTAATTTTTTTCGGCCTATATATTATCAAAAGCTATTTTAGTTCACTTCCATCCATAATTCCATCAATCTCTCTTATGAGTCCAGTATTTCTAAATTACGACCTTGATTATTTATAGAAGCAGACCATTTGGGAGACTGGAATTTACATCTAATCACATTAGAGAAAATGTTCCAATTTTTCCAAGCTTTTAATAAAATAATTATTTACTAAACTAAAGCAGAGAGAGATCTAGATAGAAAAAAAAATTTAGAAAGGATTTGAAGCGGTGTTGTTCCTGGGCTCAAAGCTGAATAGAATTATCCTTTTCGCCCTGTTGCACATAATTGTTAACATTTGTTTATAAGTCCTAAGGGAGATGTTTTTAATAAGGTATATGAAAGTCTAAAAAGTTTTTCTCTTTCATAAATTTCTTTTATTAATTTATATATGACATTTCGGGATTTATTTTATCCCATCATCAGACTGAAACAGGAAATATTTTTATTTTTTATTTATGTGTATATATTTTTAAACAATGCATATATGTCTATAATTTGCCATATCATTATCAAGTTGCCAATCTTACCTATTTTATTATCTGTTTATCATTCCAATTTATCATAAGACTTGTCATTTTGTTATTTAAAAAATCACGGATAGGTTGTGGGAGATGCTGACAAGAACGATGAAATAGTTTAAGTGTACCAATTGACCTTCTTGAGATATGAGCAATATGGGGTTTCCAGGATTGGTTTTGATCAATGGTAATTCCTATTTTTTTTAAAGAGGTGGTGAAGGAGATTGGTTGGTCATTCATAATCAAGGAAGGAGGATCAAGGAACTTATAAGAATGGCCTGAGTTTTCGTTGCATTTAACTTTAATTTATTTATGCTTGCCCAGGCCCTGATCCTATCTAGGTCTTTCTGAATATTAGTGAACACTTCTAATAACTAAATGGGTGGAAAAGATAGATAAATTTGGGAATCATCAGCATATAGATGGTATGAGCAATAGTGGATTGAACTAGGAAGGTCATTGATGTAAGAATTAAAAAGGAGAGGGGAAATGCATATATAGATAGGTAGATGGATAGAAAGTAAACTTTATTCTGGGACAAGGTCCCTTATGAATAACAGATATGAACAAAAAAATAAAAACTACATCTGGCCAAACATTACATTAATCAATATTAAAGTATATATATAGTATCTTCAGTGAAATTAAATTAAAACAATTAAAAATAAAATAAAATTTTGAGAAAAAACGAAATAAAAAAAAATTATTTAAATGAAAATAAAAAAATAAAATAAGCATGGGTTGATTTTTAAAATTAAGACTCAATAAATTTTATCAACCATTCACCTCAGTCAAAATCTGTTTCACAATATTTATTTTATTGTATAACGTCATTTTGGGATGTGAGAAGGAATTGGTAGAGATGATATTTAAATGAGGACAAGGAAGAGGCATGGCGGATTTCAGATGGCAAGGAATTCCAGAAGGCTGTGGATCGGGAAATAAAGGAATATTCAAACGTCTTAGTTCTATGGGAAGGGATATAAAGGTTGGAAAAACGGGATCTTGTTTTCTGGGCGTGGGCCAGGGGTTTAAACTGTAGGAGACTGTAGATGTAAGAAGGGTGTCTGGTGTTGATTGTTTGGAATAGGAAAGATCCGAGGAAATATTATCTGCGGAAAGAAGGGAAGAGCCACTTTAACTCGTCGTAAAGGTGGGACACATGAGATCGCCTTGATGTACCGAAGACAAATCTTAAGCACGTATTCATGAGTCGCTTCAATCTATCCTCGAGTACCATCGGGATGCCTCCGTACACCACACAGCCGTAGTCAAAGTGGGGGGAAATGAGAGAGGATACAAGGAGCTTGCGGATGGGTTGTGGGAGTAGGTGGCAGGAGCGATGAAATAGCTTAAGGGTACCTATTGACTTACGGGAGATGAGGGTGATATGGGGTTTCCAGGAGAGGTTTTCGTCTATGGTGATTCCTAGGTTTTTAACGGATGAACTGAATGTGACAGGATGATCGTTGATGACTAAAGGAGGAAGGATGGAGATGGATTTAAGAATAGGACTGGAACCTATAATAATGGCCTGAGTTTTCATCGCATTTAGATTTAAATTATTCAGATTTGCCCAGGCATATATATATATATATATATATATATACATATATATGCATTTCCCCTCTCCTTTTTAATTCTCACATCAATGACCTATATATATAAATTAAGTCCCTTTGTATTAAAAAGAATTAAAAAATGGAAACAGGATGAAAAATGACACACACGTGGTGGTATGTATAGACATCCCTTATACTCCACTATTTCCTTATCATCCCTAAATGGCTGAGGTCAGAGTCCATTCCTTAAATTTCCCTTCTACTATAGGGGACATTTAGGGGAGATAAAGGGCCCTTCATCATTCCCAAAATTTCTCTTTATGCTCACTACAACTTATATTTAACTGATAGAAAATGTAATTATCCTGTTATTATTATTATGCTTCTATCTAAAGAAAATCTAGTAAAATGAAACTTCTTGTTTCAAACCATTTTCTGAATATTTAAGCGGTAGGTTAAAAGCTAAAAAAGAAAAATTTTATTGAGAACGTTGTTTTCTCCACTCGACTTTAAGGATTCAGAAGTAGAAGGTAATGACGGTGTTACAGTACAATAACTTGTTGTTTTATTATTATCTATGGGTGACTCAATAAATATTTAGTGCAGAGGAATTACATTTCCTCACTTCACAAGTTTTAGAATTAGTGTCAGTTCTGGAAAATAAGAAAACTATTGGAAAGTATCAAGTTTGCTGCAATATCTTTATCAGGTGTATCAGTGTTCTCATAATCTTGATTTGTTGGTGTTCATAGTACTATTTATATGATAATAGCTAAAATAGAAAGACAGAAAGCCTATGTAAGTCAATTAGCTTTGTCAGAACTCATCATACTATGGTTTGCATATATAGAATTTGTTCCTTTGATGGCAGCAGGTTGCAATGTTAGGATATTAATTTATTATGTAATTTAATTAAATTTGTCAAACATTTTCAATTCATTTTTTCCTTGTAACTGACAATGATCCAGTTTTAATCTAGGAACTACTTATTATTGAACCATTTAAAGTGGTGTTAGTAAAAAAGTAAAGATTTTAGATATTGGTAACTTACTAGAAGTATTATTAAAGACAGATATAGATTAATATAAATTTCTTAGTAAGGAATTACAACTTACTTTTTCTGATTAAAATAGTTAGCCTCAAGCATATCCAACAATTTAACACCACTTATATTTAACCCCATGAGTATTTAGACCATTACCCTCTTAATTAGGAGAAGCCTACAATTTAAGACAAACTTGTAAGAACTGGCTAATTAATAGTTTAATTTAATAATATTTAGCCTATATAAAATGCAATTTTAGTTATTATTTTACTTCTTAAATATTGTGCGTACTATTTTTTTAAAGCTTGTTTTAATGTACACCAATTTGTGAAGTTTCACACTTCAGATTCTTTATTTATTTTAATAGACAAAGTTTTGGCTCTTACTTTAGAGGTCTATTTTCTACAATAAACTATTTTACATTAATTTTTTTTTAAATATTTCTACGAATCAAATAGTTAACATTAAGGATTAGAACTTTTATAATAGCTTCATTGAGACATTTTAGGAAAAAAGTTTTTATTTCCTTTGATGGAGTAGAATGTTATACTCAATTACCATTTTTGGACAGGTGTTTAAATGAAATCAATTGCTCCAATAAAGTTTTTAAATAATAGTTGTTTTTTTTTAAATCCTGTTAAATTTTTACATCAAAAGTTCTATGGGATAAATTTCTAGTTGAGAAATGACTGAAAAATAATAATTTTCCAGTCTTATCGATACTGATTAAAAATAAAAGTTAAATCTTCATTACAGGTCTTAGTAAATACAACTAACAATGTTGTTATAAAGGATATTATGCGAACTGATAAGATTTCAGAACAATAAAAAAAAATATATATACATTTTTTTTATTGTTCTGAAATCTTACCAGTTCGCATAATATCCTTTATAACAACATTGTTAGTTGTATTTACTAGGACCTGTAATGAAGATTTAACTTTTATTTTTAATCAGTATCGATAAGATATATATATAGTATATATTTTTGGTTTAAATGGGAAAGAATTCAATACAGTAATAAAGCAACTACTACAACAGTAAATAACTATACTTTTTTTTTAAATTCAAATACATTCCAATATTACAGATACAATTAAAAAAACATTCAACAAGCCTGATCTTACTTATAATATAAAATATGCCACAATCAATATCCTAAATAAGACAAACAGATAAGAAAGATAAAATATAAAATTATAATTAGCCAAATTTTATTATCAAAATGAAATTTGAAGTTTGTCTTAATCAAAATTAAATGAGAGACAGCACAAATTAAATCCTATTAACCCCAATAATATGTACGAGTACTCTGGACAAACAATATAATTATAATTTCAATTTTAATGATGTTAAAATATTAAATGAGGCAAAAATCTGATAATTCATGGAATCCATTCGTGTAACAAAATGTATTAAAAATGTAGTCAATTTCTAAACATAAATTAAATTAATATATCAGCAATAACTTAACATGATTAATATAATTGAATTGATTTTTAACAATTGAAAAATATAAGGTGTAAATGAGTAAATAAAAATTAATGTATTAGGTTTATCCTATTGGAGATAACATTTGTGCTTTGTGTTCATTTGACATACTATTACAATATTTAAAAAAAAAAAAAATACATCTTGATTTCACCATAAAGGCATGTAAAATTTTTATTTTACTAAATATTAAGAGAATATAAATTTTCAATTATACAAGTATTTAAATGTGCGAATAATAAAGGGAACCAAAGATATGTTTTGTAAAGCAATGCAATACTATTTTTACCATTTCTACATTACCAAGCAATATTATTTCAAACAAAATTGCTTGAAAGTTTGTTTTGCTTGATCTCATAAAACTTATGTTTTATGTTCTATTTAGGACAATTTGTTATTGGATAATTTATTTTTAAGACAATCTGTATCTTTGAATTTTCCATTACTCAAATTTTATTTTATCTATAGATAATGATATTACCATATTGTTAATAAGTGTTTTTTATGTTAACTTTGATTGTAACAACAACAATAAAAGCTTTTATTTAATAATAGTATATATATTTACAATAAAATTGTAATGCTGCTTAACTTTGTTAAGTTGTTAACTGACACATCATACTAATCTAACTGGTAGACAATATCTAAAAAAATCAGCTCAATACACTTGTATATGAAAATGTCATTTGTTGTTGCTTTCTTTTCTCTCAATTCTGTTACCCGGATTCATAAAGCAATAACCTGATTTAAAAGTGGAGATGGTGCAGTATTCTCAATGAGCCCAAAATAATGGACTCCGCCGCCATACTCTGTTTATCATACCTTTCAACACCTAGCTTTTCCAAAAAAACTAGCAGTTAAAAGAGGAATTGCCTCTCTACATCCAAACCAAAGTCCTCACACTGAAAAAGTTCTCTCCCAAAATTCCTCTCTATATTTCTCTTTCAGGTATGGAATGCATTTTTTATATATTTCTTCCTTTTCAATTTGTATTTTGAGATCTTGTTGCTCATCATTCCTCTCATATCGAAACCACTTCAGTAAAAAAAAAAATGCGAAAAATCGTTTTCGATTAAAAGAAGCTTAGAAAGGTAAGATGCGTGTTGAATGAAAAACCTGAGCTAGACTGTTGAGTAGTAACGTAAGTACATGACGTCGTTTTCTATCGTTGAGCGCAGAATAACATGAGTCAGTGACTGTGGTCTCTGCATCCACTGCTGGATTGCATGACCAGCAGGGATGAGCATCTTTATATTCAAAAACATAAATACGAATACCATTTATATTTATGGTACATATGAATATAAAAATAAATCCTATACATTATTTCTAAAATCTTATATATTATTTTTAAAAAACAAACTTTGAAGAGGAAGTGAAAGCCATTCTCTTAGGCCTTGAGAGGTTGATTGAACGGAAAGACAAGAAAGTTGCTTTCTTTGTTTTATCTCTCCAAAATGGATATAATATAAATCCAAATGTTCCTAAATGCCATCTATATTTGAACCGATTAAATGAAAATGAGACAGAAGTCGCTTAATGTCGCTGGCCGTTAAATTGAAATTGAACAAGGGTAATGAATAAAATGGAGTTAAAACATTGCTTTTTAAAAAAGAAAAATATAACAATACTATTTACTGTCTGTAAGTATATTAATTTACAGTCGTAATATGCGAGTAAGCGAAATGTCGTAGGACCACTCAAACTTTAAAACGCATTTTGGTCCTTAATTTTATGATGATTGTTATGCATATTAAAGGCTCTCATACCAACAGAATATAAAGATATGTAATTTGTATATACATTTTAGTTTTGTTATAAAATAGTTAAATTAGCCGAAAATAAAGTATTGAAAAGATAAAAAGCACTTTGTTTGAGAGCGGCAGATACTACTAGGAAAATACCGCTTCGATTCTCTGAGCTTGAACAGCCGTTTAATCCTTTTGCATATTAACGTGTCTGTATTAGGTACATACGAAACTTAATCCTCTTTCAAATTGATTATATTGAATTTCTTCGACACATGCGTAGATTATGAGTTTTGGGGGAAAACCTACAAAAATATATTTTTCTTGAGAAAAATGCAAACAGTCAGTATTCTCTTACTCCTCACCCGTTAGCTCTACATCTAAAAGCTACACATAGAATTCATAGTAAATTTTATGTTTTTTATTGTTGTATACAATAATAATTTCGATAAAATGCAAACTTTCGGAGTCATGTCCAAAAAACTAAAAAAAGTTCGGAAATTTCGATGTTTTTGCATATATCTCGATACGCAATTGAACATTTCGTTCGGGAACGTCAAATTCAGATTCAGTATCTCAAAAACACATAAAAAACCGAAGAGAAACAGGCTATTTGAATTTTTCTTCAACCAACTACCACCCGACTGCCCTATACGATGACTTTGACGTCGTCCGTCAAGGTGAATTATCTTTTAGGAACTTTTCTTTACATCATATCAAAATTTCAGGCGTCAGTTCTTCCGTTTAATGAACCGTCAAACTTCGCCTCGTTAATTTAAATTTTATTGCTATCAACTGACTGACCGAAGTTGTATGTTCAGATGAGGTTTATCCAGAATTTAAAATGTTTACTAGCTATAATTCCTTCCGTTAAATAAAATTTTCGGTAGCTCCTTGTCTTATAGCGGAATATTGAGAAGAACCGATTTTTTCGTGAGTAGATAGGTAGTCGTTGTTTTTTGGATGTAAATGATTCAGCATATCCTCGATTAGATTCGCAATTTTTACTTTCACTTACGTATATATGAAATATATAGTAAGTGTAAGTATTGCGATCGTGAAAATTTTCTAATCTCAGTTTTCAACGGAAATACGTATTTTGAGGTCCCCTGAGTCCAAATAACCAAGTGTCGCAAAATGGTCTGAGTGTGTATGTGTCTGTGTGTATGTGTTAACAGTCTAGCTCATAAACGAAAAGTACTACGAAACTGATATTAAGTATTTAATGTTTGTATATGGGCCGGATGTGACAGTAACTTTTTCGTTAAAATCGGCTAACCGGAAGTGCCACTTTATATGGACGCTGAAACACATTTTTAATATTTTCTCAAAAATGGCTCTAACGATTTTGATTAAACTCATTGTATAATTAAGTGGTCTTTAATATCATTTAGGTCTTATCCCCGTTGATGTCACTTTACAGGGCTTAAATGCCCAATGTTCATATGCATCTTCCTCTAAAGTACCTTTAATATGGTTTATTTTAAATAATCAATTATCTCTCATTATTAAAAGTTATGAAAAAATGCTAAATATAACTTTTGAAAGAATTTGATAATTGAATAAAGGAGAAAAAAAAATGCCTATCCAGGTCGAAAATGAATCTCTGGAAATACTAGTCCGAAGATATACGTATAATATATCGTTGGAAAGCGGAGAATTTTAGAAAAAACAATATCGAATATAGAAAGTTGTAAAAGGAAACGGAGATTGGCAAAAAAATTATAAATAATATTTTTTGAAAACTAATAATATTTAACGTAAATCACATGTTTTCAAGGAAATTAAATGAAATTTATTAACTAAATGCAACCTTTTAAAATATTTTTAAGTTTGAAAGAAATATTTAAGATCCACCTAATAAAGGCAATGACATTGTTTAAATAACTATTTCATTGTACTTGTGTGAAAGAAGAAGTAAAATATAAAATCATTTCATGCATAAGTTTATAACCTTAAATATATTTACTGTAGTTTAATAATTTTATTACAATCCATAATCAATTGATCGTGCAATACATGATCAACGGATCGTACAATCCATAATCAACCGGTGATATAATAAATAGGGTTTTGGTTATTTTAATGGTATTTATTATTTTTAGCTGTAATTTTTTAGCTTCAGCTCAGTTAAAAGTGCAATTCAAAAATTTTATAATAGTCCGATATGGCCAAACATTATTTCTATTCAAAGTTTAGTGAAAGTTTGTGAAAGTTGTGTGTTGCTCTCACCAGATTTTTTCAAATTGAAACGATTTAAGTTGAATTCTTGAGCCAAGATATTATTAGACTCTTCAGTCTCCTGTCGGCAACATATATAGAATTTTTCTAGAACTTTTTGCTCTTCTTTATTCTTATTAAACTACTAAACAGAAATATAAATTTAACACTAAGAGTGGGAATGAAATCGGCCCTATAAATGTGATTCTTACATAGAGAACGAATGAAATAAAATATTTCCTCGATAAGTGAGATATAAAGTTATAAGATGATATATAGTTCTGTCAGTTTTAGGAGTTCAACTGTCGCTATATACGATCATCTTTTCTAAAAACTAGAAACTGAGTCAGTAAATCCAATCGCTTTATCTATTCAAAATCACGTTAAAAAAGCCAGCTGAATCATCGAACGTGGCGTTTTCGTCGTTAAAGCCTATACATCGTTATGACCGTTCTATTGTACTGTTCTTTTGTACCGTTCTATACGATATTGTAATTCGAAGAAATTTAAATGTAAACTGCAGCCTTGATTATTATAAGTCCTTTAATATTGTTATAAACAATAAAACCACATCGCTATTCCAAGTTACTAAAATCTTATTTTAATAAATAGATTTTTACATTCTCCCATTAATTTATCGAGAGATAAATAAATTAAAACTCCAAATCATTATTAATTACTATCTTTATTAAACACATTAACTATGAGTACTAAAAATACCATTGAAAAATCATGACCTTGGTCGAGAGCCTCGGGGAGTGATACGTCCAATGTAGGCTATGCTGCCAATGGAAGTCGTTTATGGGAGTTTTTTAAAATATATATTCAGTTTTGAACTCTGCAGCAACCAGAAATTTAGTTTAGAGATATCCAATTGTCGATTAGTAGTATTGTTCAAAAATTCGATTTTACAGATAGTTCAGGAACGGTTGAGTTGTCTTCTGATTTTTAACTGTTAATATAATAACTGTGAAGTGATGTAGATTTCAGACCGCCCTGGGAAGCGAAGGCTTGTGCTCCTGTCGCAGTTTGTTCCTACTGACTCCGAACTGAGTCTCACAGGTGAAATACGTGATGGAGGAAAATTAATTAAAAAAAAAATGAACTTCATTTATTGTTTCGAACAACCTTTTTTTTCGAATTCGAGCACATGTCTAAAGCCATATATAGGGTCTCCCATAAGAAGAGGAAAATATTTAAATGAGTGATAGCAGAACTCAAGATATATAAAAAAGTTTATATAAACAATAGTTCGATTTTCAGCAGGAAATTAAAATTTTGTGATTTTTTTCTATTAACTATTTAATTTAAATAATTAACGATTGCCTCACTGTAAACTAGACAAAATTTACTTTAAATAAATTTTTTTTTTTTAATAATAATACAATCAGCCACTGGAGGGCTATAAGTATTAGGGCTAAGAGTTCTCATTCAAACAATATATACAAATAATAGAGAAATAAATATAAATATAAAAAGTAAATAAATAATACTGATGAAGAAAGAAAAAAAAAAGTAAACAATAACATAAAAAGAAACTTAT